CCACCCCTGGCCCCTCCTGCTCACCGATGATGGCGTTCCTGAAATCCTGGGTGATCAGCTCCATGAATTCCACATCCACAACATGCAGGTGTGTCTCCAGGGGTGGGGTCACCACCTTCTGCAGCAGCTGGTAGCCGCCATGACCCGTGGACACCACCAACACAGACACGTTACTGTTTCGCAGCTCTTCCATGGGGCCCTCGACGGGGCCGGGGTTCACGCCGTCCGTCAGCCACACCAGCACCCTGGGGGCCCCACTGGACTTTCTCGGCACCAGCAGCCGGTCCTGGACCAGCCTCAGCGCCTCTACGGTGTTGGTGTCGCCTTTTAGCTGCTTGGTGGAGCGTAGCGCCTCCTGCAGTCTGTGCTGCGCGCTGTGGGCCTCCAGGCCGAACTCCACGCGGGGGCTGGAGCCCACCTGCACCAGGGCCACCCGCACCTGCTCAGGCCCCAGCAAGAAGGGGCTCAGCAGTTTGGACAGGAAATCCAGCATGTGGTGGTACTCGAAGGACGACACGCTGCCTGAGGAGTCCAACAGGAAGATGACATCCCCCTCGCAGCAGTCGGACACTGGGGGGGGGAAGAAAGATTCTGTCTTACAGGGAGTTTAAACGGACAGCTAAGCCAAAGTGACATTTACTTCACGCTGCCTCAACTGCTAGACACGGCGATGAACCAACACCCTGTCCAATGACCGTGCCACCGCAACAGAGACGCACACAGAGACAACGGAGAGGACTTTATGGCCCCGTTGCCTGGATACCAGAGCCCCCGCACACTCGTCCAGAACAGCGTGAGAATGGGCCATGTGTTTCTCACAGAGGAGGAACTGAGAACTCAGCTTAAATCCGGCGCGTAACACGCTGCTACAACAAGGTCACGGTATGCAAGTATCTCACAGGACAGCGTGTGGAGGGGACGGCTGTTCCCAGACTGGAGGTCCTTAATGGGCCCATTATAGTGCACAAGAGCCACTTAATTAGCTGCATAAACAGGTTTATAAAGTTACTTTCAACTCAAAAAACTACACGCCACGCTGGGAAAGCAGAACAACTCATTACCGGCCCATTTTAACGAATCAACGAGACCGAACTGCATTACATCTGGACAATTTTTATGGAGTACCGAGTTGTTTGGGAACAAGTGATTTTAACACTGAAATCTGGAAAAGAAAGTAACATATTGAAATAAGTCAATAAGAGAGAGACGTTTCTGCAGAGGTCTGACAAGAGAGTGTGACGGAGCTTCAGAAAATGTTTGTCCAAACGTGACCATGTCCCTAAAGCAAAAATGACAGCAGCAGGAAGACGTATCCATGGTAACACACGCATTCACCTCCTTTTATTCACTCCCTCTCAAGCACACAGTCACACAAGATAAATACAGCTGGATTGGTATAGACTGCCCACTGCATTCTATACCTAACCCTCGCAAGCCCCAAGCCAGAAAAATCCAGAGAGGTGAAAACTCATAACAAAATATCTGGCAATTTCTACTATAACAATATATTTAATGCAGGTATAATAATATAATACTAATAATAATAAGATCGGCAACTACATGGTGGCAGCATGACAACAATATATTTCCTAGATGACCCCCCCCAATCTAGTCCCCGCTTCTCCCAAACCTCATTTTTTGTACTGCAACACCATCAGTACATTGTGAAATGAAATGATGAAACTTTGATGATCCCTGTGGGGAAGTTAATTTTCCGCCTGCCCCACCTCGCTCTCCATGAGACGCGGACACACGTGGAGGTGAGAACGAGCTTGGCAGCGAAGGGCAGCCCCCCCCGCAGCAGAGCCCATGGAGATGGGTGTTAAGGGCCTTGGTTGAGGGCCCCCAGATTTGATCATTCTGATAAGGCCGGGCTTGAACCAACGACCCCCCGATCACAGGCACGGAGACTTGCACATGGTATTTAGACGGTATTTTCAAAAGCAATGATATTCCTGTATCTCAGCCCGTGAAAAGTCTCCCACAAAAGATTTTGGTGGGGGGGGGTTCGCCTATGATACATTTCCCCTACAATATACCCAAAACCATATGCATTCTTCATTCAGGAAGTACAGTACAATGTGATGTTTATGGTGTATAGGTGATATTTAATTTTTTTCCAGTGTTCTGCTAAGTTGTGGGGAAATATATGTCACCCTAGTGGTGAGATCGTTCCCTAAAAAACAGACAAAAACTCCCTTTCATCTCCCGTCTGCCGTTGATGATTCCCATAACCATTAGATATGACTCTAGGAGCAAAGAAATGACATAAAAAAGAGATGGGGGGATGGAGTGGGGGTGGTGACAAAAAAAAACCGCTACAAATAACAAAAAGAGAGAGGTGGGAGAGACAGGGGTGCGGGGGCAAAGTCACAGGGCAGGGGTGAGGCGGAACCTGCCAGCGGCCCCCTGCAGGCAGGGCTGGTAATGCAGATGTGAGCCAAAAACTTTTTAAAAGAGCTTCTATGGGTAAAGTGATGAAAGGGTAAGTCCAGGAGGGCTGGACAGCATCAGGTTACAGGGCAGGACTGAGTGGGGGGTAGGGGGTGGGGGTGGAGGAGTGTTCCTGTTACAGAGATGGTGCGGAATGTGGCTGTGCATTCCACAAGCGCGTGTGCGTGCGTACGTCTGTGTGTGTGTGTGTGCGTATGTGTGTGTGTGTGTGCACGGACTACCTCGACACCCAGAGCTAACCCCATAGACACCCCCATAGTGGGGGGAGAGCCTCACCTCTGATGGCAAAATGTTTCTCAGTATTGTAAATTTATATCTGTTTCTGTGTTTTGAGGATTTGTGGATGAAGATTGTTACATAAGGCGAACTGGCAGTTCCCCAAAATGAAGCCGTACTTGTGCTTGCTTGGGTGTGTTTGTGTGTGTTGGTGTGTCTTGGTGTGTGTTTGTGTGTGTTGGTGTGTGTGTGCTGGTGTGTGTTTGTGTGTGTTGGTGTGTGTTGGTGTGTGTTTGCGTGTGTTGGTGTGTGTTGGTGTGTGTTTGCGTGTGTTGGTGTGTGTTTGCGTGTGTTGGTGTGTGTTGGTGGACCTGCTCGTGTGGCAGGCAGCTAACGCCGCAGGGAGACTGTTTGCTTTTGTTTCTATCTGTCCCTCCCCATATCGTACAGATAACATTCATCCTTATTAAAGGTGTGTGTTCTGGGGAATGGCAGAGCTTTCTGAAAAACCCAGACAAGATACACCCTCAGGATCCATGAGCTTTTAGTGCGAGAGCTGCAAAGAACATAATTCAATATTCAAAAAAGAAAAATGACTCCTGAAACGAAGTAAGAGTGAAATCTGTAGGTAGACATTTACCTGAAATTATTCCACTTTTTAATTTTAGAAGAATTGTTTGCTGACTTGACAATACCACAGCATGTACCATCCTTAGCACACAATGCAACAGTTATGTTGTACCTACAACAGCATAGTTTGAGCAATTTGGACGGTAGCGCGGTTGCGCTAACCCCATGATGGCACAGTTACGCTGACCGTATATCGACACAGTCGCACTGACCCTATGTCGACACAGTCAGGCAGGCCTTATGACAGCAGTCAGACACAATGGAATGAGTTATGCCCGTTCCAAGGTACAGTTCCTGGGTGGTGCAGGAAGCTATTAACTATGCCGAGGATCTACACCTCTGAGCTGAAGCCGCCCAGGAGAACAGGAGAAGTCCTTTGTAAATATTTTGACAGTTAAGTAGCAAGCGGAGACTGATAGCAGTACACGGCAAGGTCACTGGTGAGGGGAGCTGAAGGCCCTTCAGCGAAGCCTACATCTGGAGGTGGGACAAATGGGGAGGGGGATTAAAGCACTGTACAGTGTAGGATGTGAGGGGGTAAAGCGGGAAAGATGACACTATGCAGGAGAGCCATACGACCTTCAACACGCTGCACTATCTTCTGCATATGCCCAGAAAAAACACTCACTTGCCCACACACATAGACACACAAACACACACCCCCCCCC